TCATCATCAGATCCTGTGTTGGTGCCATCAAATGATACCCGGCTCCCAGGTGCAGTGGGTACTATTAAATGGGAGGTGGGGGGCCATCGAACTTCTATTGAATCACATGCTGTTACCGTTACTGAAAACAAATTTCCTGCAAAATCCCAGGGAGTTGGGAAAAGCCAACTGACTGAGCCTTCTCAACCTTTGTTGGCTACAGCCCATGGCAGTACTTCAGGCAGCAGGCCTTCGTCCAACTATAGTAGCCGTTCACAGCAAATAATTGGACCTCAAAAAGGTAACTGAGTTGCATGATCTTTTTCTCACTTCTCAAGACATTATCTCAAAACTATACAGGTATTGCTTGATGTCATTAGAAGTGCATTAGGTTCTTGGCTTTTCATTGAGAACTGTTGATTACAGAAGGAAACTGTAACCTTTCTTGTAACTACAGAGGGCATACGTTTTCTGATTAGAGTTTGTAACTTTGAGGCCTAATTTTAATAAGAATGGTTTGAAATGTTGGCGCTGTAATTCACTAGTTGATCTCTTCTATATTGCCTCATCTACAAATATCTTTTTTTTTTCCAGCTTGAATTCTGGATCAATATTCAACTTAAATCAGATAGAAAAATACATTAAACAAAGCATCAGATGAAAGATTAGGAAAAAGATCTTTTTCAACAACATGAAGTAGCTGCAGAAGAAGTATTCTAGATTTGGTTAGGTGATTGTGAATATTTGCTGTATTTTGGTCTGCTAAACTTTCGTACTTGATTGATTGTCCCTCACATTGGAACAGTGGGTGCTAACAAGGAGTGGAAACCGAAGCCAACAAACCCTAATACTGGTCAGGTTTCTGGAACATCTTCTGCATCTGAGATTCATGCTACATCAGTTGACAATAGTGGCCAATCACGGCCTGCAAATGTTCTTGATTTAGAAGAAGCAACAATGAAGTTGCAGAAGAAGCTCGAGGACTTGCATCTTCCACAATGTCAGCATGTTATAATACCGACCCACATTCATGTCCCTGAATCTGAGAGAACAAAGTTAAGTTTTGGAAGTTTCGATGCTAATTTTGGGGTAACATCAAGCTATATGAGTGCTCCTGAGAGTGAAAAGAGCTCTACACCTCTATCTGAACATTCGCTGGGCATTGATGAAACTGTTGAAAACCAGTCAGTGAGGTTTGTGTTTTTTTTTTGAAATAAAGTGTAAAGTATATATTAACAGGATACCAAGATACCGGGGGTACTGGCTATGTACAAAAGCATTTATAAAGATGTAGAGTATCAATGACATTTCTTAAATCTACATCACTAATAATATCATGACCTAACAATACCGATTCAAAAGTATGTATCTACCTATCTTTTAGTCTAATTGAGCTACTCTGAACACTATCAAAAGTTTTTCTATTTCTCTTTCCAAATGTCCCAAAAAACAGTTAGTGGGATAACGATTGTGTTAAGAAGTACTTCTGGCTTAGGTTTGGCTTTACTGCTTAGTAAGTTCAGTATTTTGTGATGTTTACATGCCTGTTGAAGCATGAATGTAAAAATGAATTTAGTTTCCTTCAAGAAATGCTATTTTCTTTGTAGTCTGATAAGAGTGCTTTGTTAATTTAATCTTTTTCTATCAAGGTGTTTGGTTTGGCTTTTTCTTGTCAAGCAAGTGCAGTGTTTATTTAGCTTAAAATAGCTTACACATCAGTGGCTTATAAGCCAAAAGTAAAAAGCCATAAAACTTTTTTCTGGGCTTATAAGCCATGCAAAGAAGTCAATTTTTATCTTCTATATTTTAACTAAAAGAACCCCATCAGAAGATTATGTTTTCAATAGCTTAATAAGCTTATCTTTAATAGCCTACAAGATTATAAGTTTTATCCACTTGTAAGCTAAAAGAAAAGCCAAACCAATATACCATTGTACTATGACTTTACAATTTCTTAGCTGCATCTCTGCTTCTGAACCCTCTGTCTTTCTGTTGCTTTATAGCATTCTACTAATCTAGTTGAGTTAGTTATTCATGCAGTGCATGTTCCTTATAACTATGCTCATCAGAAAAAAAATGATTATCCTTGTGCATTCAATGTTTGATTATTGATAAATGAAATAAGAGGTTTTCAGGGTATTTTTATTGTGTCCTTGCCTTGTCTGGCGGAGCATGTGTATCCAACTAGTATAGGTGGTTTCAAACTTGAGTTATTAATTTTATATGGATAAGATTGCAAATGAGACCCCAAAAGTGGAGTTTTGCAATGTTCAACATCGATGATCAATTCATCCAGTTCATCCTTTTATATTTGTGAAAAAAAAAACTCATACCTGGAACTAGCATTCCCCTGTCATTCCAACCTGATGTGTTAGAATATAATGAATAGGTCTCTCTGATACATGGATGACACTCCCTTGGTTTCCTGTTTTGTGAGGATTATATCCATTTGCCTGATACTAATGAATGTGTCTATATTGCACATCCAGCAATCAAAGTGCTTTGGCAACTGCTGAGGAAGGAGAGTATCCTGATCATCCTCCATCACCTTCTCAAGCACCTGAAAATTTGTCTGCTGAGGCTGATGTCTCTACTAGTGCTGTCCTGGATTACAGTGAATCCAAGCAAGAGACTGCTCTGCAGACTGGTGGCCACCAGTATTCAGCCGTGCACACCTCCCCAAATTACAGTTTTGGTTTTGTGCCTCCAGTGCTAGGAAGCCAACTTGCACCATTTGAGAACTCTGACTCTCAAGGACGTGATGTCTCTCGCATCCCGAGCTTTGTGGTAAGTTTTGACATCATCATCATTATTATTACTTTTTTTTAAATAAAAAGTGTGAATATATATTACAGGGGGTACCACCCATTTACGAAGACATCATCATTATTTGGTAATTTATTTTTCAATGAAGTCACTCTTTTCGCTGTCTTTGTTTGGTGGATGAAATAACCCCTGTATTAGGGAGCACTAATCACTACTGAAGCAAGTGCTAGCTATTGCTTAAGTGGATTCTTTTAAGTTTTCAGAACTGCAACTAATTCTTGTTATGGCATTCATCTCTGCAACCTTGTTTTCTTGAAAAGAAGAAAGGCAAAGAATAAAATATTTTAATTGATGTGGTACGTTTTTTCAAATATAAAAAAATACAAACTGATTTATCATAATGTTGCCAATTAAATGTCCATAATATTTGATGTTTTTGATTACTTTCTCTGCTTAGTCTTTAGAACTAATTGCTCATATTGTATTAGTTGCTTTATTGCTTCCCAGGTGCAACAACCCTCTTATTAAAAATGTAATAATCATGCTGCTCAATCTTTTTACTTCTAATAAGTTTTCTCGGTAATTGCTTTTCTAGGTCCAACAATCATTTGATCCGACAAGTTATTATGCCCAATTTTATCGTTCAAGCGCTGATAGTGATGGTCGTGTTTCTCCTTTCCCTTCAGCTGGGGTTGCCACCAAATACAGTGGGAATGTTGCAGTATTGCCTCAACAGACTTCTCAGTCTCCTCAAGAGGTCTGCACTTACTTGGTCATATTTTTAATCTTTGCATTGTGATAGTTTCAATACAAACCCTTACCCTTTTATACATAATTAATTTCCGGTAGTTAAAAGTTTCATTTGTCAGCAGAACTGTTGAATATTTTAGTTTGAAGTGGTTTGTTCATTCCATGAGCATACTGCGTCAGTCATCTACTCATTGATCTTTCATCTGTGCTTGCAAATGTTAGATAATCATCAAGATTATATGAATTCACCCTGTTTAGGGACCTTTGCAATCACCATTTTGCTGTCCTTGCTTGCACTGCCTTGTATATACCAGTAATGGCGGTACTGTTGAAGTTTATTTTTGACCCTTCTGTTTAGCACATCAAACATCTGGATTAGTTGTTTCCTTGTTTCTTTCCAGCAAATGTTAGTGTTTTCCAAACTTATTTTGGAAGACGCTTTGGCTCAAAATGAGAAGCAACAGCTCCAATGATGCTTATTCATGATTTGCCTGTAAAGGTATATTAGTGGGGCATGTGATCAATCAAAGTCAGGCATCCTACCAGAATACATATTGCCTTAATCTTGCATGTGGCCTTTGTCTTGCATTACAACATCACATTCACACATTTGGTTTCTGGATTAGTCATCTTCTTTGAGTGGCCACAACCTACAAAATTCATATGCATTGAATTGAGATCCTACATACATTGGTTTGCAGGGTGCAAACTCTCTAGTTTTATCAACGGCAGGTCCAACTCCACTGGTGACTCAGGCTGCGGGTCTCATGCAAAGCTCTATTGCTGTTACTCAGCAACCTGTCCCTGTCTTTCGTCCACCAGCTGGGATGCATATATCTCATTACCCTCCAAACTACATTCCATATAGTCCCTATTTCTCCCCATTCTTTGTTCCACCGGCAATCCACCAATTCTTAAATAACTCTGGATTTCCTCAGCAACCTCAAGCAAGCAGTGTGTATCCAGCTCCACCAGCTGCAGCAGCACCTGGAGTAAAATATTCACTACCACAATATAAACCAGGGACAAATACAGGAAACTCAACCCATATTGGAATGCCAAGTGGCTATGGACCATATGGCTCTTCTCCAGCTGGTTATAATCCCAGTTCTGCCACAACAGCAGGTAACTCAACTGCTAATGAGGATCTTGGTGCATCACAGTTCAAGGAAAATAATGTCTACATTACTGGGCAACAGGTTAGGCTTCGTTTCCTGCTTATCTCTTCTTCAATGAAGTAGGACGTTTATTTTTGAAGGATGACTTTTAAAGATTTTGCTCTGTCATTTGAAGAACTTTTATTTAGACATGAAGCTAATGGAAATTGTAAGATTAAGGCTTGTATCTCACATGCAATATATGGTTTTTTCTTTCCTCTCTATTTTTCTGTTGGACACACTATGCTCGATTTTTGTGGTAAGACTCACTTTATCATGATAAGTTTGTTGATCTTGATAAATGCAAGTTGCTTGGGTTGATTGTTAAAGCAGAGGTGGCCTGTGCTGTATTGCTGCTATTCCATTGGTCATGGATGGGTGCATAATGTAAAAATATTCTCTTATGTTCTGAAAGTTTTATGAGGGTGTAGTTGAAAACATTATGTACTAGAAGAGGTGGTGTTGCTGGTGCTGTTGCTAATTCTGTGATGGTTATTTGTCATCAGCAGCTGCTGCCATGTGCTTTAGCATGTTTATTTTTGGTTATTTCTTGTTTGTTCCTTCATTTCAACTTTCAGTATCCTGCTCATGCTGTTACCATTTCCTGCTTTTCTGTTTCTGTTTAAATTTCGTTAATTCTTAGTTTTCTGCCTCAGGTTGGTATTGTAAAATAATAACAAAAATTTGTCTGGCTTGGCATAGTAGAAGTTTATAATCTTTAGGGTTGACTAGCTCTTTGATAGTTTATAAGTTTTAAGAGTTTATTTACATTAAGAGCTTTTCTATTGGTTTACAGGTTGTATGTTCTTTTTCTTTTAACAAGTGACCTGTTGAATTGTTTGGATAACATGGGCTTATATAAATGCTATATGTTATACATGCCTGGTAAAGAGAGAGTTTATGGAAACTGCCCCAATATTTCATTATTTTCAATGCATAAAACTGCTGCTATTGCTAAACTTTTTTATTGGAATTTTAATCTGCTATCTATTTTTAAATGAATTAAAACATAATTGACATGTAAAACTGCAATTTTTAGTTCAATTGTTGTTTTCTTGATTTGTCATTAGAACTCAATTATCTAACTTGATGTGATAATTGTCTTGTGGGACTCCTCAAAAGAGAAATATCTTTTATGAGATGTATTATTTTAGAAGAGAAAGTATGTAAAGGTGGCAATATATAATATTAAAAAAGTAATGAAAGTGTCATGGAAAAAAAAAAGCATGTTAACTTTTACTTAATGAAATAAAAGTATTTTGTTCCCTGAACAAGAGCTTCAAGTTAAAGCTACTGTTTACTAGCTTTTAAGTTCCTTACAAAAATTTATATAACTAACTGTATCTGAATCATGAATATGACTAGATTGTCCTTCGTTAAAACTTTGTTTTGATTATAATGCCATATGTACGTGTTATGATTGATTCGCCTAGGAGTTTCTTTTTTAGGAAACAAACTTAATTTATTTCATTTTTAGAGAGTTGAGCAGAAGTCTAATGCTTGGTCATCCCATCATCTGTCTCTGTAGACTATCGTCTTAATCAGTTTACTATTTTGATATATGTTTGAGATTGTTTAATTTATATGTGAATCATTAGGTCTTGTAGAGAGTTTCTTCTTCTTTCCAGGATTTCACTGTTATTTGATTAAATCTGTTACTTATGGTTTCTTTAATTTGTTATGTTGCTTGGAAGACAACATTAACCAGCAACGGTGGGCTTATTTTATGCAGAGTGAAGGCTCTACCGTATGGATTGCCGCTCCTGGTCGAGACTTGTCTAGCTTGCCTGCCAATTCGTTCTACAACCTTCCTCCTCAGGGTCAGCATGTGACTTTTGCTCCAACGCAACCTGGTCATGGCACATTTGCTGGTATCTATCATCCTGCACAAGCAGTAACAGCAGCAGCTGTCCATCCTCTCTTACAACAGTCTCAAGCTATGGCTGGGGCGGTGGATATGGTGGGGCCTGGAGCTAGTGTTTATCAGCAGCCTCAGCATACACAGATCAACTGGCCGAATAACTACTAAATGGGATAAACTTTTGCTTTCTTTTTTTATAACCGAAGAATCAAGACGTTCAAAATCCAACCTTGGGATATTTTTGGGAATTCCAACAAGCTTGGATGGTAGGAAGAAAGATACAACATTGGCCAAATTTGAGAGTATGAATCGATAAAGAGACTGGAAAGATTGGCTAATAGTTTCTTCTGATTGCTTGGGTTGAGGGCATAAAGAGTGCAGTTCGGCTGTAACTGATGTTGACCATTTTGAGTTAGTCGATATAGGCATGTGCAGCTCTTTCTCTTCTTTGCTGTTGCTATATGGTGTTTACCAATTTTCCTTTTTCATAGTTCAAGTTTTCTCTCTCCCTCCTACTCCCTCTTTAATTTTGAAGTTTTTGAACTTGTTTAGAGTTTACTAATGAGTGGTGAGAATCTTTTCCATTCTTTCCTCCCCTTTGATTTGAGGTGTTCTAGGGATCTGGAAGGTAAGATATAGGTTGGTGGAGAATTTTCCATTTGTTTCTTTCTTGTCCTTTTGCCATCTTACCTGTAAAGTGAATTCAATAGCAAGCAAAGGATGTACTAAATTGTTGTAATTGGTGTAAGAAACAACGAACATTGCAATTGTTTCAGTTTAATGATTCAAATCGTAAATTCTTGTTGATAGGTTATGGGATTGTGAGAAATGGGTATGTATACCTGAGGGCTATTGTTCTGGCGTGTAGAACTGACTTCCACTATCCATTTATTTCCATCACTGTGAATCTCTTTTGTGCAGGTTAGTTCTTTTCATGCTTGATTATATCTCCACTATAAATAATGAAGATTTGAAAATTTTTTCATTATTTTCTATGAATAGTTAAATCTTTCCTTGTTCTTCTGACATCATAATATTAGCCTATCATTTATGAGGAAGGACTTTATTTTTTTAGATTGTGAAGTTTTAGGAGGCTTGATATTCCAATTTTAAGCACAAAACAACAAAAACATTGTGTGTCATAGTCTTCCATGTGTACCTGCATTGATGTTATCAATCACTATTACAGAGCCATTAAAATTTTGAGTTCAAGCGGGCCAGTTACAATTTGCTTTCCCCTTAAGACACATTGATGTTGGCTTAGATATAAATGGCTGGTTGGTCATTTGTTGAGATATTGCGACTGTAGTAACTGTCTTCAGGATGCTAAAAAGGCTTCTCAATGTACACAAACTCGTACTTCTTCCTCGCAATTCTTCTCCCAAGCTGTCTCTTCAACCTCAGAAAGAGCAAGATGAGGCTTCGGCAGTTTTGAAGATTGTCCATCCTGGTGGAAACGTGGATTGTTACTTCATGGCCATCCCTGCAGTCATGATCATGGAGAGGTATCCGTCTTTTGTGTTAGCTAGACCAAATGTCTTTCAGAATCCTTGGGAATCTGTGGTTAGACCAGAGGAAATTCTCACTCCTGGGGAGAAATTATACATAGTTCCTTTTCGAACCTTAAGAAAGTTACGACGTAGAACCAAGAAACATAGTTCTTCGTTCATATCTCAATCTTTTGTTGGTGTGTCAAGTGGTAGAGTCTCCCGCAAGAATCAATTCTCAACCATAATACGTTCTGGGAAAAGTGATGTTAGTAAGTCTGGTGAGGTGGGTGATTGGTCTGTTGTGGGTGGGAGAGATGGGAAGAAAAATGTGGCTTCGAAGAAGCATGTGAGCTTCATAGGCATTGATGGGAAGAGCAAGGGTGCGTTGGGGTTGAACTCAGTCGGAAAGGAAGTGAGGAGATGAATAGTGAGTCACCTCGGAGCATGAGGAGACGGGAGTGGGAGCCAAATCTTACGATAATCACTGAAAGTCAAGGAATTGAAGATAGAATATAGAGCTACAGCTCTTAGTCACAATTACTATCAGGCCATTCCCCATTTTAT